TATTTTCAGAATCCCCTTAAAATAAAAATGTACTTTAAACAGCCCAGTAATCTCATTTTCTATTATTGTGTTCACTTACACCCTAATAGTGAGTTATGAACATTAAGCGTAAGCTCATCTTTTAAAAAACTAAAGGAGGTAAAGTTTCAAAGTACACAAAATATACATACAATGAAAACAAAGCACATATATTTACTTTTGATATATAAACTAGGCTAATTTACTCTTCCCATATATTATCCCAACATTTTCTGTAATGTTCTGTGAAAATCTGGAGAGTGTTTAATATCAATGCTGGTGTTCACATTTCAGCAAATTAAACAAAATCCAGAATCCTCAGCATCTAGGTTTTTCTAGTTTTTATGATGCGGCTTCCTCTTAGGTCATTCCTAAGCCACTGTGAAAGACACTGTCCCTGGATGTTGTTAATCTGTCCCTTGTTCATATTCTTGGAGCATTTTCATTAAAAACGCTACACTGACAATTAATAAACTTATAAGTTACTGTATTTCACTGGTTGTGAGTTCATTAAGAGTGGATACCAGTTCAAATTCATCTTTGTTTCTTCAAATCCCAGGACAGTGTTCCAATTACTACATGCTCCTGAACATGCTGTTATCATGCTCTGGCTTTCTATTTACAAACTAGGAACAATTTCTTTTCACTGTGTTGATATATGGGGAAAACTGTATATAAAATGCAAGTTTGTGTGAGGCACTCAGTGAATGTGAAATTAAATATTATATTACCCAGATATTTTCATACAGAAAGGCTTCCTTTCCTTCCCCAAAGTATCATTTTTACTATATTAGTTAATATTATATTATGCTTTCTGATCTCTGTATAATCATAAAACAAAAAAAGTTATGTCATAAATTCCCTGGTCCCTCAACTATAAACATTTCATTCGCCCTTTTGGGAAGGCAGTGCTTTTCAGACAAATTGAAGCTTCTGCATTGAAGCTCCATGAGGTATCAATGCTTAACTCATTCATATAACTGACTATAAATATGGAACAGCCTATGGCTACAGTAGTCACTGACCTCACAGATTTTTAAATAAAATACCTGCCCTGAATTAAAAAAAAAAACCTAAAATGTCTTTTTATACATACATATCATAATTTAAATTATGTATTATAATGCCCAAGAAGGAAAGTAACAGTATTTTCATATTAGAGAATGAAAAGACAAATCTCTAAATTTTGCAATTTATTTTTCAATTCAGAAATACATGCTAAGACCCATAACCCTGTCCCTGGAGGTTGGCTTTCCCTCATAAATCTAGTAGGCAAAATTCTTTGATTTAATACAAATTATATAATCTCTATGCCTCATTTTTCTAATCTGTCAAGTGAATATGTGAGTCTACACTGTCCACATCAAGTCAATCCTTCTACCTTCTCTGAAATGTTAGCAACACTAACAGCTGGATCTTCATTCCATATTTTCCTTGTGGACCTGTGTTAATGCCACTTTTCAATAGCTCTAGAGAGTGAATAAAATTATAATTTTCATTTAGAAATAAGAAAACTAAATATTAAAAAGTTACATGACTGACAAGTTGTGCACTTAAGGAGCGGAGTACAATGGAAATTATTTAATATAATAATCACTACTGTAATTGTTAAAACAAATTTTGATAACATATCTCACTATTACATAAATATAGTATTAAGGAAATATTTTCCTTAAACCTTACTATTGGCATGTAATTTTAAATAATAATACTCAAGACTCTTGTCATCAGTCTTAAGACTCACTATGTGTATGGATTAAACTAGGTTTTGTTAATGAAAGCAAGTGAAATACAGTGATTTGCACAGATTCCTACTGTGCTACTTCAGCAATGTTGTACAGTCTCTCTGTGGTTCAAATTACTCAGCTCTATGTGGTTATAGCATATCCAAATTAAATATGCATCAGCAAGAAATAAAGTGATACAAATAGTACTGGAATTTAGCAAATGCTACATATGTAATAATTTCAGTCATGTTTATTGCAACTTTTCACAACAGCTGGGAAATAGAAACAAGCTAAATGTTCTTCAGCAGATAAATGGACAATGAAAATGTGGAACATTTATGCAAAGGAATGTTATTCAGCTACAAAGAAAAATGAAGGCATGAAATTTGTAGGTAAATGGAACACACCCGTGCTCCTAAAAGGCTGTTTATGCGATGTTTTCTTGATTATTCCAGCTATTTAGAATAAGCCATTAAAAGACAACATTTTCATAGCAAAAATTAATATCATTTTTAATACATGACATTCATTTCAGTCAAATATTTATTACACATGGCAAAAAGTCCCATGTAATTTATTAACACTGCACATTTCAAATTTCCAGGGTCATTACTCACCATCGTATCCTGGGACACACTTTCCTGCTTGCCCTGGTGGAGGTGTTTTGGAGTTACCCAATCCAACACATGATGCTGTTATTGGAGATCCAGTCTCTGATGAAAGAAGTATGGCATATAATTTATTGTTTCAACATGGGGCAATGTTTTGACATTATATGCATATCAAATCCATAGTAATTTGCCACATAATTTAATTGCATTAAAAATTGATGTAACTCTAATCACAGTGTATTGTTTAAGATATGCTAAGCTCTAGAGTCCCTGCTGAAGATAATCATCAAAAATCCAGAGTTAGACATCATGATGTTTAATGGAGTTTAAATACATTATTTTATTATGACAAAATTGGAGGTCTTTTATGAAATGCCAAATACACTATTTAAGAATGAAAATATTTTTCATTATAACATTTAGGGTGTACATAGTCTTAAAACTATAGAATATTGTTTAGACTGGTTCATATAGTAGTACTCCTTCAAAGAAAAGAATGCCTGCTCTGGTATTAGGGATAGGTAGAAAGAACAGAGAATTCTGAGACCTTGAAGGTTTCATAGCACACTAGAAAAGTCAAAAGAGCACTAGAATGGATACTTTCTCTGGGTTCACTTTAAATTATTATGTTTATCATTATAACATATCTGCATGCTAAATATTTCTGGTATTTTTAGTTTGTTGTCTGAGGAGGCTGCAACTCAACCTGAATTTACAAACACTTTAGCCAACTAGTTCCCTGACTGTTGGTCATGGATATGCCATAGCCCCAAATCATAAGAAGACATAGTTTACACTGTTATTCACCAAGACCATAATCTTCCAATTGCACCCATAGACAATAAAGTGTTAAGTTTGTTTCTTCTAACTTATCTGCAAGAATAATAGCAGCTATTATCTGATAACCATAAGTTCTGAAAGCAATTATGTTTTGAACAAACTCTCTGTAACATACAAAATTGGAGTTAACAGGATCTTTCTAACATGAGGTTTACACCCATGAAGGACAGGGTAAGAGGACAGTAATAGTGAAAAGTTTAGTAACTAGGCTTATATTGTACATCTCAGCATACCCAAATATGTACCTAAGAGATTAATCACATCAAAGATAATCATATCCAAAATAATGAAAGAATAATAATAGCATTGACCCCCCAGCTATTCTGAATGCATCCTACCACCTTGAGCTATACTATAATTTATCATACATTTGTATCACTTTAGAATGATGAGAAGGATTGATGACTATTATTTTCTTTCCAGAGGTCAGTTTATTATTCATATTTAATGGTTGGCAGCTCTCATCTGGCATCAGTAAGAGAGGATAGACACTAAAATATTAGAGAGATAGCACAGTGGTTAAGAGCACTGGCTGCTCTGGCAGAGGACACAGGTATGATTCCCAGCATCCACATGTCAGCTGACAACCATCTGTAACCCCAGTTCCAGGGTATCTAATACCCCCTTCTGACCTCCATGGGCATTGCACAACACAAGTGCACTTACACCCATGCATACAATACACTCATACACATAAAATAAAAATAAAAAATAAAATATTTAAAAGGTGGTTTGTAGAGATGGATCAGTGGTTAAGAGCACTAACTGCTCTTGCAAAGGACCCACGTTCAATTCCCAGCACCCACATGGTGGCTAACAACTGTCTGTAATTCCAGTTCCAGGGGATCTTCTTCTGACATCCATGAGCATTGCACAACATGGGTGCACTTACACACATGCAGGCAATACACACAAAATAACAATAATAAATAAAATATTAAAAAGGAATACTAAGCCATATGTCACTGGTAAAGATAATCAGGACCAGAGCCAGTTGTTTCTGAGGTTTAAAAGAGACGTTACAGATAAGTTTTGTATCATAATAAAACACTGTTTTTCTAATTAATTGGTATTCTTCAGTTATGCAGTGTTGGACTTTTTTCCAATTTCCCCACAGCACAACCAAATTAGACAAGGAAATTCATGTGGCTGGAGAGACTAAAAACTTTCTCCTTGTTCTTTTTGAAAGTGCCTAGGTATTCATCTCAACTCTCTTTCATAACTGATGTGAGAAATAATTAGTGATGACAGGAAGCAACCTTGCAGAGTGGTTTGCTTAAAGAAAAACACAGGAAGCAAAAGTTCTGTTCTGGAAGAGGACAGATGATTCAAGCTGATTGTAGCATAAAACGGTCCTATGACTATCAAACCATGGACATCAGATGCCTTCTTCCCAAGGTTGGTGGCACCTGACTGCCCAGGAATTAACACAAACAAACCTACTGATGCTCCACAAGAAAGGAGGGTCAGGGAGAGTCAGTCACACCTCCCAACCAACCAATTGATCCTAGTAGCACAAGGGGGAAAGACTAAGGGTATCTAAGTTTAGGAAGCCCATAAAGAGGCCTCTTGAAATTTTATGCAGCTGTGGGGAGGTCGCATCCACATGTGGGTAGAAACTTTCCAGTGTAGTCTTGGAGGTGGGGATGGGAGAGCTCACCCATTGCTCTGTAAGTAACCACAATAAACTCTTTACTTTCCCAAACTGTAGTTTGGAGAAATCTTCCTGCCTCCTAACTGCTGGGATTAAAACTCTGTGCCTCTATGTCCAGATAAATATGGATGCTTAAAAATGGTATCAGCACTCTTTTTTTTCTATTCCACAGGGAGAAGTGCAAAAATAAGTGAGAACTAAGCTTGGCTTTAAATGAAGATGCAGGAAAAGATGAGCAAATTGTTGTCATTAGCCTTGTACGTGAAAGATGACATGCACACTTCCTGAGATTCTCGTGGGTCTCCCCCTTCCCTCGTGGTCTGTTGGCCACTGATCCTCGAGGACAAAGGGAGCAGAGGCGACTAACCGGGTCAGGATGGCCAGTGAGCACAATGACAGAAAAGACCTTCTGGGAGTCAGCTTCAGTGAGACAGCTCGTTTTTTCAGTGTGGGTCAGGGAAAAACATAGGGTGGAAGCAGCAGCCAACGCCTCAGCTGATAAGTGTTCATAGTATGCTTTATTTACATGGGGTAGGCAGATCATATCATCTGGCTATAGGGCAATGCCTAATTATCATATAGAAAAAACCTGGGGGCAGTTTAAGGTCATGTTCCAAATAAGGCCAGGTATTTGTGCTTGGAGGCACTTTCCAGATAAGGTCAGGCAGAGAGCAGGAAACCCCTGCTAAGAAAGGGAGTCCTCCATACAGCACCAAGCTCCTTAAAGCTATCCAGACAGGACATGGAGGACTACAACCTTAACAGCAGGGTTCCCCAACAGATTCTTATTATCATTTATTTATGATCTTTTAAACCTCAGTTAGCTTTTATTTTTTATTATAAGAAAGCTTTGAAAAGGGCATTTTCGTATATAATTAATTTCACTGTGAATTTTAATGGTGACAAAAATAAAATCTATTTAGATAATTCAAATTAGATAAAGTTCATGCTTTGTACATTAGTGTTTCAACTCAAATATCCTGTTGACCAAAGTTTTAGAGTCATGTAAAGGATAATTAAAAAAAAAACATTGTTAATAATAGGTATGTGATGTGATAAAACAAAATAGCCCTCCCTGGGACTCTAACCAAAATAAGGAGTTTTAAGTAGGATCAAGGTAGGATGACAAAGACCATAATATATACATATATTTTTTCTCTTTGTAACTATAAATATCTTGAGATGCAACAATTTATCCATCTGATATACCATCATACATACATGTTGTCCACACATTCATACACACAAACTTGATGAACACACTGTTGATCAAGCTGGCCCAAGCGAAAAATAACTTCTAGCTAGAGAAAAGTCCCACCTCCCACCCTCTCAGGCTGCAGGCCCTAACTGAAATCCTAAGGCCTCTCAAAGCCCCACTTTGAAGATCTTTTGAAAGCATCTGCTTCACACTACCAAAAGCTATAATTAACTGACTAGAAGTTATCTAGGGAAACAGAAAATCCAGATGTCACATTGTGATTGGGAAATAGCTACATTAAACAAACCAGAAGATTCTCTTTGAACAACAGTATTGGAAACTACATTTGAAGAAATATTTACACAGATATCCTGTCTTAGAAAACCGTTCAGTGCATCACCAGCTACATCTCTTTAAATAGGAGAAAATGGCAAGGGATTGAATGATGTTGGAATATCTCTTGGCATATTCCATTTCCATGACATTACAAGCTAGTGAAAGGATGTTACTTTTGCTTTAATGCTAAATCTGTCATCTTCACTAGGAGACTGCCTCACTCTACTTCATTGCATGGTGGGTGAGCTGTTACCCAAATGAACTTTCTCTAATACTTTTAATTCTGAATGGAAAAAAGATAACTAATAGGCATATGTGTTTGAAGTACAAATTATTCTATGTATGGGGTTAAGTACTTTTTAGTCATGTAACTCCATCTCATACTACTGCAAGAGTAAAGAAAAATACACTATTACACATACTGATACCTATTCTAGACACGTGTTACTGAAAACTTAAACAATTTGTCCTAATTTATGTAGTAGTTTCATAGAAGAAGATGAATGCAATTGGTAAATTCATTAACTTCTGAGATTCTCACATAGAAGACAGGGTGAGTAGGAAATAGAAATCTTCTGCCTGTGCCAATACACGAAGGAAAATCTTTGGGACATACAGTGAACTTGGTCTCTCATATTTATAAATGGAACCAGTGTGGCACAAATCACCTAATAATTTTTATTGATCAGATATCATGTTCTAGGGATAACTGTTAATACTAAAATACAATAAAACAAGATGACACAAATTCCCACTCTCAGAGAGCTCACATTCTAGTTGTGATGACAAGCAATGTACAATAACATATAAATAAAATTCATAGTCTAGGAAATGTCCAGGAAAAATTTAAGCAAAAACTTTGTTTGAATTTGCCTTGGAAGATGTGCAGTTTTATACTGGTTAAGTACAGGAATGACCTCCCTGAGTAGATGACACTTGAATAGAAAATTGAAAGAAGTGTGTGATATATAGATATAGAGGAAGTAATCAAGTAGGCAGAAACTTCAAGAGTCGTAATGAGACTCTATTCCTGAGTGTTTGAGAGTAATTGTCCAACCAAAGAGAATGAGTGGC